TCCCTTCAAGTTCGAGATATCGAGGTTTGGCTGTATTATAAAGTAAACAATTTATTTACAATAAAACATGCGAAAAAGAATAATGAGAAAAGTAAATAGAATAATTAGAAAGTAAAATTAGAAAAGTAAATAGAATTTTAAGTATTTCATTCGTGAAATGATTTTACAAAACACGAAGAAAAAAAATGACACAAATCTATAAATTAATTGCTTGTGAACATATTCATTTAACTATCAGTAAAAGCAATCACTTTAATAATGTAACAAATAAAACAAAGTAATGAGCAAAGTAGTAACTTAAGCCATATTGTTAAAATTAAATTGAAAACTAATGAACCTTTCTGAAATTAAATCTATAAATTAATTTCTTGCGAACATATTCATTTAACTATCAGTAAAAACAATCAATTTAATAATACAACAAATAAAACATATTAATGAGCAAAGTAGTAACTTAAATCATATTGCTGAAAATTAAAATGAAAACTAATGAACCTTTTTGAAATTAAGTTAATTTATTTCTGTTAATTAGTTTTGATTTAAAAACTTGTATAATTTGTAATCTATCCACATGCAGTACTCAGGCACAAAATTCTGTACTTTAGCTCATTAAAATACATGCATTATTTTAAGTTGTATTTTTAAAAGAATATTTAAGACAAATAATAAAACGTTTTAAAGGATATGTCAGAAATATTTATTCTGAAAAAATGGTTTTAATCTATGAATTATACAAGATAAATATGGCAGTTTTTAATAATAAAAGAATTATATGTATAATAAATTAAAGAATATTTTTAAGTATTCGCCATTCATATTTTTTTAGTCAAATTAAAGCAAAAAACATTATAAAAAAAACAATAAATAGTCGAAAATATTATCCAAATAGCATAAGCTCACTTCGTAAACGTATAATGTTAATAAACTCATTAAGTTTCGTTTCACTCATACTAATGTTGCCTCACTTAAAAAGAAAATCTTAAGTAAATTTTGTGATTGGTTAAATTTTAGCCACGCCCTTAGAGAGAGTTATCGTAGAATGTCTGTTTCCAAGCGAGTGTTCATGGTACGGTATTGAACGTCCATGGAATAAAACTTTCCCAGTTTCATTTTCCAGCTGAGGATCTCCATTCCATTCCCGGCCCCTCTTAGCTCATGCTTATTTATGTACTTATATATACCTCAGCACAGGCAGCACCCGTACGAGGTAGCTTTGAACAAAATCAGGTTGTTGCACCTACTTTTAAAGGAAACGAGAATTAAAGTTTACTAAAAGGTATAAAATTTTATATCATTATATAGTGGTAAAATATATTTTACCAAAATCATTGCCTCAGCATTGGACTTATAGAAGGCATTTCTAATAGTATTTCAATAGGAGACAACGTTAAATAAATAAAACAATTTCGAAAAACTGCCAGCCATGACTAAAGCATGCAATTTTGTTATAGATAATGAGAACGGGTTTCCGAGAGGTTAACCTATTCTACTCAATAACAAATTCTTTGAATTCATTCTGTCAGGTTTTTAGCTATGCGAAGATAGCNAAAAAATTTTAAAGGTGGTCATTTGTGGTCAAAAAATGGTCAAACGAATGCAGTTTGAATTTTTGAATTTCCTCATTTTCGGGGGCTATCTTCGCATAGCTCAGGTTTTTCCCTTTTGTACTTTCTTGTTTACGACTACAATATGGACGGACACAGTATTCAATAAACATAATGATTTAAATTTACAATTAAAATTTTGACATTAATAATAAAATATATTAAAATCCGAAAAAAAAAATTGTGATCACGCCTCCTAATTATACAATAAGATCAGTATCTATAAGCTTACGATACGATTGTGTTGGTATTTTTTTTTTCAAGTAGTCACAAGTTTCGGCTACTCATTTCTTCATATTTTGAACTATTTCTACTTAATAATTATTAAGTCAGAAAATTTTAATAAGAAATTATGCTTTAAAAAGAAATAAGCAAGCCAAACCGATCCTGATTATTAATAACGATTGTGTTATGTCGATTATTTTGAATAAAAATAGATCAAAAATTCGTGTAGAAGTCAATACGATTTCTTCCATCGAAGTTTTGTATCCTGGGCGGGATTAACCATTAAGCATAATAAGCACTTACGTAGGGCACCAGAATTTAGGGTGGAGGGGGCTCCCCAAAGCACCAATGAAAAAAATTCATTTTTTTCGATAAATATTTTTTTACACAAATTCGATTATAAGATCTTACACAAAATCATTATTACATTAAATTATATTTATTTCAATCACGCGAAAAAGAAAGATGTGTATAGCCTGTATCTCGTCACAAAATGACCAATGTTTCTTATTAACGAATTATCTACCGAGTCGGTAGCACATATGAAACGTCGGTGAATAACTGGGGTCTTAAATACAAAGGACCTCAAGGTAACACCACATGGATCCACCATCACAAGATGAAGGGGTAAAGGGCCACTCAGGTACCCCGAACAACCGACAGGGCTAGGACTAGATCTTTCATCAGCAAAATAAGTCCTACAAATGAAATACTACCACTTTTTCCTTTCTTGAATGGATAAAATGGATTGAAACATACCTCAACCTTTACCATAAAAACCGCCTTTCTTCCATCCTTTGTGGTAACCTTTATGGTAATCTTTTTGGTAATCTTTATGGTAATCTTTATATCCTGTTTTGCCATCCCATCCTGTTTTTCTTCCCCAGTGACCCCAATCCGTTCTTAAGCTTTCCTCGGATCCTGCATGATCAATTGACTGGATTCCGGATGCAAGTTCATATCCATAACCAATGCTGAATATGGCTTCCATTAGGAAAGTATTAAACATGAATATCTATGACAGGAAAAAGAAAATATTTACATATAGCTAACAGAGATTCCATGTGGACCGCTGCTCTCAACAACAAAATATTTTTAATATGGTAGAAAATTAAACACGCACATTTTTTTGATTGTGTTAAGTTTTAAAGACTGTTTAAAAGTAAAATTGGGAAAAAATTAAAACACGGTAAACACTTTAACATGGTAACAAACAAAAGCTTTGATTTAAAGCTAACAACATACTTAACAATTTAAGATATCTCATTTCGAACTAAATATGGTTGTTAGGTTTACCGGTAAGTTGTGTCTACGAAAGTGCGCACCTCGTTTTATAACCATGCAAGAAGTTCTTTAATAAAAGAAAGAGGTGCGGTAGTTATCGTCTTTAGCTCAATGGTAATGTTCTAGCTCAGTGATTACCAACTGGCAGCCAGCGGGTCGCATCTGGCCCACGAAGCCTTTTTTTTGTGACCAGAAAACAACTGAAAAATATTTTAGTTGTTTTTTTTTGCGGACAATTTTAGTAAAAAATCTATATATGGGATTAAAATACTTTTCCTTCGTTTAAAAAAACTTAATTTCTTCGTTTCTGTGAAACTTAACATACCAACGGAGCAAAAAAAAATTATTTTTCAGGTTTTGCATCCGAGAAAATATTTATTTAAATACAAAAATAATCGTGTATGTTGCTCTTCTTTATTTCGTCTTTTTGTATTTTGTGAATAGAATTTAGCATGTGCGTATCAGAAATTTTCTTTTTGAAACCACTCATTTTGGACGAATATATTTACACTTGTTAATTTTAAAACGTATAAAAGAGGGAATGAATATCATGTTTTATTTAAATTCCTTGATTTGAATTTCGCATGAGCGGAAAATAAAAAAAAAAAATTTCAGATGCTCGAGAATTTTTTTGTTGTTGCTATAATTCTTAATAAGTCAAAAAAAAATTTTAATTCATCACAGAATTAAATTTAAAAGAATACAAAAAATCTTGTCACTCAGTTTCTAATTAAAAGAAGATTCAAAATGATAAGTAACAAGCAATATTTGTAATGTTTGTTATTTTGCTTTTTAATGTTAAAAAATTTTTTATAAAAATCTGACAGTAATATTTAATGTTCCTTCAAACATAAAAGAGTCCTATGAAAAATTTTGATAAAGTTGCGGCCCGCCATTTGACTGGTGTTTTTAATTGCGGCCCCCGGCCATGTGTGAGTTGGAAACCCCTGTTCTAGCTTACAGAGATAGCACATCTATAAAACAAAAGAGCATGTGCATACATATTCAAACTTGTAACAAATGTACCCGACAGAACTAAGCCTAAGCGGTNTCGTCGTTTGAATTGATATTTATTTTGAATGCACTTCCGTTTTGTAAATGTTCAATATTATTTCTTTCTCAGCTTTACTTATGTAAGATTTCTTCTGTCGTTTTTTAGGAGGACTTAAATCCATCGCTTTATTTTCCATATTACTCATGAAACACTTACAAAAAGACACCACGGCGAAACAAACAACCCTCTAAAAATAAGAGTTTTTGCTTGTCTGATAGGCGCTATTTGTCATTATTCCGGCGCCAAGTAGACAGCTGTATTGCGCCAAATAGCACGCCGCTTTGTTTACTTTCGCTATCAGTTCTCGTTGAACAGACTATAGTTCCATCAAAAAGTTCTCCACAAAGGAAAATTTCTCCCAATACTTGATCGAGGAGTTCCCTTGTCATCTGGATTTGGATTATTAATGTACTAATTGTTTAGAGTAGCGGTTCCCAAATGACATTCCGCGGAACCCTTGTGCTCAGTGAAAGAGTGAAAAGGCTTCCCTGGATTAGTACTTTTCATAATCAGTGATGAGCTTTGAAACTTGTGATGAGTTTTAAACCTCTGATTATATTTAAACCCAACCCGTAATTCATAATTTGTTTATTTTCTCAATGTCCTTTATAAAATTATTTTAAGTAAAATACCAACGAAATAGAAGTAGAATTTGTGGAAAAAAAAGCATAATGTTTCTAATAGCAATATAGTGAACAAATTATGAAAAGAACAAGCATTTATAAAACGTTGCATCAGTATTTTTCCTATCGCATTTTTCAAATCAAAATAAAATAATTCTTTAATACAAGAACATGTTTCCCTATTAACCATTTTTAGCTGCGATTTTCATATCGAAATTAAACATAATTCGGCTTATTTTGTTCATTCATGTATACACACAAAAAAAGAAATTATAAATAGTCTACATATATCAGGAGGATTGCAAATTTAACTGTCGGAAATAAATCCTAATGGTAAAAGGATGAACAATCTTCGTTCCTCTGATTAAATATTTAAAAAATAGTTTTTAATAGGTTACAGCGTTCACAGTTACCTTAATAAACTTAATTTATTATATACTTGGCAGAAAATAGGTTGATTATTTAGGGCTCCGCAGCCGAAAAAAAAAATAGGAATCGCTGATTTAGAGGTATAATATTTAATTTCCGTACTATAAATAAGAATGAATTGAAAAAAATTTTACTTACTAATGCATTCATAATCGCGTTTTTTGGAAATTCTGTCATGCAGCATTATCTAAAAGGCTAACTCAGCAAAAGCTGGCTCAACTTTTATGCGTTTTCCTAAAAGAAAAAGTCAAAATTTGTTAACAGATGTTCGAAAAGCTTTGGAATTAAAAACCGAGAAAGACCAGAAAAAGAAAATATTACAATCAAAGCAAATCCATTGAACAATTTTTTTGGCATTGTTTCTTTTAACGCAGTTAGCATTCCAGATGCAGACTCTTTTTATTTTTATGAACAATCGAAATTAACTGGAAGGTGTTCTGTAAACAACGGCTAAATGTTTTGCTTTAATATGATGGCGGAACAATTTAAAAAATAATTCGCGATCGCAACGCTCGAGTACGNACAACAACGCCCCCTATAGTTCGTTGCGATCGCGAATTACGTATTCCATAAAATATTCTGTTTTTATGAAAATATGACATCCTATCAATGTTTCAATCTATCTCCAAAATTTTCCTATCTTTAAAATTAATGCGAAAAGTCGCTAAAATTTCTTATATTTAAAATAAAAAAACAAAGATATAATCTCGTCATCAGGTCACACGATTATATCCCTTCTTTTTGCGGATATAATCCATATCAACATCATATTCCGCATTTTTCTTTCTTTTTATATTTAAAAAAATTTTCTTAAACATAAATTTACAACTACCAGGAAAATAAAGATATGATAATCCTCATATATTACCAACTCGTGGACAATGCATACTTACCTGGCACTGGGGTATGCCTTGATCAGATAGGAGGCTCCCCCGAGCAGAGACCTATCATTGCACTGAGATTGGTTGACGCTCGCCACATCCACAAATTGTGGTTTGCTTGGGGTGCACAATTTTTGGTAGTTGGGACTGCGTTCGCGCTGTCCCTGTCTAAATAATAACGAAAGAACTCTTAAAATTTTCAAAGCAATACTTCTAAACTTGCAGTGTGACTGGCTGGTAATGGATGATATTTCCTACACTAGGGAGCGCTGAAAGCTATATATCGCTTATACTTCCGGGTTACTTTTCTCGATGTATTTCAAAGCCATTTGGCTCACAACGTGTTATAATATATGCCAACTTTCAAATTTGAACCTGAATTATAATGTATAAATTAATCTTGCTCCTCGAACAATATGCTTACACTAACATAAGATGGTGCACAGCTTGCAACACGAACAAACAGTAATAAACAAATGGAAAGAGGCCAAATCAAGGTTGCCAAAAAAGCGAGTTATTCAAAATCTAGCAACCATGTCATCTTTTTTAACAATATATCTCTAAATAAGTAAAACAAATTTTCACTTTAAACTCATACAATTACATAATATCTTATGAAATACGGCAGATTTGAGCTCAGAAATTATCTAATTTATTTCTTTTATTGAAAACAAAATTATCCGTTTGAAAATATTCGCGATCGCAACACTCGAATACGCCATCTGGGGAGAGACCGGTTTCATGCCTTTAGCCCTTCTCCCTTCCCTCTCCTCCTCTTTTTAGTTATATAGGAATGTACTACGATATTTTAAACTTTTTTAATATTTTTCCTTTTTACTTAATAAAAATATTTTTAAAAATTTCCGTGATACTTTTCTTTAGAACTATGTTTAATGTAGTTTTCAGTTCCATATAGTTTTTCAAGTTAAAAGATTTTAATCTATATGAAAATCAAGAGAGAAANACAAATGGAAAGAGGCCAAATCAAGGTTGCCAAAAAAGCGAGTTATTCAAAATCTAGCAACCATGTCATCTTTTTTAACAATATATCTGTAAATAACTAAAACAAATTTTCACTTTAAACTCATACAATTACATAATATCTTATGAAATACGGCAGATTTGAGCTCAGAAATTATCTAATTTATTTCTTTTATTGAAAACAAAATTATCCGTTTGAAAATATCGCCTCGCAGAATAACATGTAGTAGGCAGCTTCAAGCTTTCTAACCGGAACTAGAGCAGGCATACAGCTGGAGATTGTTATTGTTTACATTTCTACTGAAAACACCATCCATAGCTTTCTACTGCGTTTTTACCTCGTATACATATGCATAATTTTTAGTAGTTGGGCGTGTGACCTTAGAGGTGCGACTTACATAGAGAGAACCTCGTTCTAAAGAACTTTGTCACGTGATTCAGGGGCGATTTTGCCTCAAGTAGACTCTAGCCCCAGTCTTTTACTATGGAGGTGGATTGATGAGCTTTGTTTTGTACAATAAAATTAAATTAAAAATTTTCGCATACGAAGGTGAAGAAAAATTCATAAGAGGAGGACCCTTTACGTTTCACAAATAAGATTTTTATTCTTTTATATTCGTTTTTAGGCATTTAAACGAAAGCGCGAAAGGTTATAGAATGGATTTAATTGATTTTTAACTTGTAAAATAGCTACCATTTTTTATGTGTTTACTTAAATTGATTGATTATAATGTAGTTAACATATATGTATATTTTCATTGCAATAAAATTTTATATTGATGTCCAAATTCAGATAATTTTGCTGCTTTTCCGATGAAGCGCGTATATCGGGTTTGGTGCATTATTTTCATAACAATATTTTATAAACAAATCGCTTTTAATTTTCGCTCTGTAATATATATTGATGCTTAAAAATTATTATTTTTTTTTAAATTTCAAGCGAACTTAATTAAATATTTTAATTTGCACTTTAATATAATGAATAAATTTTTGGATAAAAAATAAAATACTCTTTTAATAAATTTCGAAAAAGAAACTGTGTAAAATTCAATCAACAAAGTTGGCGGTAATGAATCTCAGTCGCAAACACTTTATGGGTAGCTATCTGCCAACATAATTGATTCACCACATTTTCATACGAATATGCTCCTGGACACGTAACTCAGTAAGTATGAGAACTCTTCAAGGATTATCATAACTTAAACAGCTTATGTCTAGAGAACATATGTTTCTTCATTGGGGCAAAGAAATTTTATTGACTCCTTGAGCCATTTTTTTAAAGGTTTATGACTTCGCTTTATTTGAAATCAAAATTCCCGAAGAAAGTAGGCGTTACTTTTATCAAATGTCTCCCTGGTTCACACAATTCATGCAATTAACGGTAAAAGATTTTTTTTTTTTAAACCATATTCGAGACATTAGAATATAGCTCATATCTACCACGGTGCCGATGAATTGTCGTGTTTTAAATTTAAACTGCAAGTGTTTATATGAGATTAAATTAACCCCTTGGGGACGGGTGATTCTTAAAAGCATTCGTACAAAATCAGAATCAGGATGTAATTAAATAAAAAACGGTTGTTTCTAATTTGACAGACTTACTTTGCTTTTACTTTAATTATTGTTAGTTAAATCATATATATATATAATCTATGTTAGTTCAAAGTATAACTAAATAGTTTTATTTTGAACAAAGTAATGGTGAATTAAATAAATCAAACAATTATAACTCCGCCCACAAATAAACTACTAAAGAATTAATTTGATTACCAGTTTCATCTTTTTACCCTGGTTCATACGGTTTTATGTTGACACGTATTTGCGACAGTCGGCGCGAAAGGGTTCATGGAGTGATAGTGGGGAAAGGGCTGAAATGGGTCTATATTTGATGTTGTCGCAGTGTTCCCCAACCCCCGGTCCGTGGATCAAATGTTACCGGGCCTGCCCATTTCATTGAAACTGAATTTAAATACTACCTAGATTTATACCCCAAAATAAAGAATAATTCCCAGATTAAAAATAGTTCCATTAAAATTTTATTTATTTAAAAAAAGAGGCCTCCGAAAGTAGTGATATAAATTTTTTAATGTTTTAAAAAGTAAAAAAAAAGAAAAGAAAAAGAAAACCACTGCAACTATTTTCTCTCAATTAGTTTTAATAAAAAAAGCAATCATCCTAACAGTAAATATCATAAATAAAACACGAAAGCGCTGCGCGAAATTTACATTAGAACTAATGAAGACTCTCCCGATCGTGACTAATTGATTTAAGTAAGTTAAAATGTTAGCAAGTTAAAATGTTAAATCACTTTATATGTATTTTTTTGATGTAACTATTTTATTTTGATGGCATGTTTACATACAATTAAATTAAAATTAATCAATCTAAAATATAAACAATCGACGCCCCCCCCCAGCGGGCCGCTGTAAAATTATCAAACGTTGACAGGTCCGCGGTGATAAAAAGGTTGGGGAACACTGATTTAGGGGGTACACAGCGTGACCCTAAATTTTACTATGTATGCCTATGCGAAATAAAATGTTTTGAGAAGCTTAAAATGATGAAATAAGCGTTCTAAAATGCTTTAAAAATTCAAAGACATCTTTCAATGGTTAACCAACGCAAGGCGC